CCACTGGTCTCCCTCCAACTAGGAAGCGGAAGAAAAGAAGGATATATGTGGGACAACTGCCTTAGCTTCAATTTTGTGATATCGTTCATGTCAGAGCCTTGTCGCCCCCAGGTACACCCACTCTTCAGTTGCAAGCAATTTATTATTTCCAGAATGAGGTACAGCCAACCACATTGCTCAGGTCTAAATGATTCCTATAATGCCTATCGATGGGTTTGTGGCCGTGTTTCTAGTGTATCTGGTAATGTATCCCCTCGCCATACATACTCCGTTAGAGGCTTCTAAGAAGCACATTGCTCTCCTGATGTTCATTGCTCGAAATCTGGCACGGAAGGGAAGTAAATAGCCCAAATTTGTTGAAAGCTTCAGTCAAAGTACCTACTAAATGCATCCATCAACTTACTTATACTCATCTTAGTTCAAGGCAGCCGAGAAATATTGCCATCCTCATCATGTTAACCTAATTTGCGAGCGAATGTAATCATCGTTGTGGCATAGTGTATTCTCAAGGTACAGATGATAGCTTAGGATACGAGAGTAGCCGATCTCTTAGTCCGGCAATAGTGAGTTGTGCTGCCCGAAGGACTCCCCAATCCAATACTAGTCCGTAGGGCTTACTTGGAAGCGGCAAGAGGACGTATGTATGGCTTAGGATTGAAGGGGAAAGGGCTGTCATGGGGGAAGAGGGAAGCTATATGAATAAAGAGAAATGGTCCCCAGGCTGGACGAAGGAACTACGGGCCGTAGTGTAGTGTAGTATAGTGTAGTATAGTGTAGTATAGTGTAGTGTAGTGTAGGTCCTGCTGTAACATAATTTTATATTCGAACGTGAAAAGTGTCAGACTGATCCGGTTTCTAGAAGTACGTTATTTTCTTCTTCCTTTTCTTGTTCTTCGTCCTCCCAGATTTTCACATCCATCACACTCCCGCTTTCCACCATATTCGTCCATTCATCACAAGTTATTCATCCAAAAACCCGTCGCCTACTCGGAGTAGAGCGCTCAAAGGATGTATACACGCCACTCGGGTACCGTCCCTAGGCTGTTTTACTTACTGGAGGTTCCAAAATCCCCACTGAGCCCTCCCACTTCACCTAAACCTACACGGTCTACCACAATACAAGTGAGGAACGGCGAGGGGATTCTGCACTCCACCCCGACTACTGATACCAATGATGATGACAAGACACTGCTCGTCAAATCGTCTTATTCACCACCCCAGCCTGCTCCAGAGGGGTCACCACCTAGCCACACGCACCCATATTACCCCACCAGTCTTCAGGCCCACACGCAGTCGTTCAGGTTCCTCGCAAGTCCACTTCGTCTGCCAGCGTGCCCGATGATTATTTTCGACCTGCAGAAAAATGGCACACCGACAACTTTGAGACAAAGCTTTCCGGAGAACTCGGACACGACTTTGTTGGATTTGTCTCTCTTAATACAGAAGACACGGCTCTGGAGTTCTCTAGCAATATTCTCCAACTCGCTGTTCTGAACCATGTTCGCAAGAGACTAATTTACTTTTGCGATGGATCTTTGCGATTAATATGTGGCGCGGCTGGAATTGTTTGGCCTAAGAGCCTCACGTGTGGCACATGGGAAGGTAAGGGTGAGTACTATCCGGCCAAAGTTGATAGCACAGCCACAATCGAGCTCTTTGGAATCAGATGCACCCTGGAGACAGCGATCAGTGACATGGATACCGCACGTGCGGATGTTGCAGGAGGTCCCGCCCGGAGTAGTATGTCTTACCGAGGAAATCCGGGACAGACTAGATCGAACTATCATGGTATGGCAAATGAGCTTTTTGTCTTCACCGATGATATCAATGCGCTTCAACGGATCAGCGGGAAACTACCTTATTTCCCAAACGGGGAAGTCGCGAATCAAGTGAAAGCTATTAGCGAGCACTCTAAAACTCTCTACCTGCTTGGGGTACACGTGGAGCTACATCTCAGTCCTGGTCATTCCGGGGTGCCAGGGAATGTTCGGGCCGACGCAATGGCCAAAAGAACTCAACGTCAGCTTTTGGCAGACAAAGCCACCGCTTGGCCTGCAATCAAGGAAGTCGACTGAACCGAAAGCGGGCGTCCCCGTGCCTGACTTCTCCAGTTTGTGAATAGCCTCTTGCTTTCGCCGTTCTTTCTATGCCCCCGTTCAATGCTTCAATGGTGTTCTATGGTTTCCGAACTGTATGATTAGTATGCCAGAATATTGATTGAAGGAATGGCAAATCATTATCAAATTTTACTCAGTTCCAGTTCATTGTAACCTGAGATATCTATTAGTTAGCCGTAGGTGGTAACACAAGTATTAAACTCAATTTCTTATATCTAATGTTGCATACTATGAATGAGCATGTCTTTGCGGGGGCAAAAAGAGTATTCTGTGATATAAATTTGTGGGCAAGTTAGAGTAGCTCTTACGTCTAACCTTCGATGCAACCGTGGAAGCATCAATTCCCATCCATATCTCACATTTTCTTGAGCCTAAACACCGTAAGCTACCTTTTAAATTCAGGCGACAATTAAATGAGGGCAGGGTCAAATATCAAGCATACGAAGACAACATATACTATATTGAATTCAATCCTTGGAGCACATTTCTAGTAGTTGAAGTTCAATACACAAAGAACGAAGGATCCAAGGAAAGAACTGGGAAGACAGAACCCAGTAAGGACGACACCTACAAGCCTGGATCCTCAAGCTCTCTAGCAAGATAAATATAACATTAAAAAGAGAATGAAGCAAGATCTGGGTGAAATTATATACGGAGCAAAATTATATGGTGTGCCTGGGGTCAAACCAGGTAATGCACATTCCTGCCCATTCCCCTATCACGATCTGGTGGGTAAATGCTTAGGGCACATCTGGGCCCGGTTTTCATCTGTCTTGTTCCAACGGTTGAGATGGGTAGTGTTGATTACTGACGCTGGATGCCCTAGGCCGCGCTCAGGTGATGGGTTTGAGTCTTGAAGCGTGGATACTGGCATTTGGGAGCTATTGGATGCCGGGGGTTTGGCAAAGGTGGGCGACATTGGTCCCCGGAGAAAGTGAATGGGATCCCCCCTTCTTCAAGCTCGTTCAGACTGGAGGGTAATCGAAATCGGACCGATGGATGCTTTGATCGGACAGATGGTCACCTCGCTCGTACTAGAAAGAGGGTCGGTTGTGTCTTCATGCGGCCCGGTAATCAGCTCGTTCGGATTGAAGGGAGACTCGGTTATGATGCTTGCTGATGCTTCCTTCAAACCATGTGAATGTAGTGCGAGTGGATCAGACTCTGTGGCCTTTTGCGCTGCATGCTCTCCCTGACTAAGGGCAGGTGGTTAATTAGTAGAGCGAATATGTCGGTTGGACGGCCTTAGTGGTCGCATTTTGTCTGAGCGGCGAGCTTGTTTTGATGTGATAAACTCTTTGATTGAACTGTGACCTCGACGAACTGGCATAAGCATCGTTCTTCACTTCGATTGTCAGTCAAAGGGCACTTTCGCTGCTCGAGATTGAAAGGGAGATAACTGGAATAAGATTAAGCGAGAGAGCTTTCAGCGGGAGGTGGGAGAAGACAAGAAAGGTACATGTGGGGCATCTGGAATCCTTCCTTTTCATGACGGTGTCGATGTCAGGCCTTGTTGCCCCCAGATACACCTACTCCCCAGTCACAAGCAAAAGATGATTTCCTGAAAAACCCAGGTACACCTAACATGTTGAGCTCTAAGAGAAATTCTATAATGTCCATTGATAGATTTATGTCCGTGTCTCTAATGTATCTCCAAATATATCCCCTCGGCGTATATATTTAGGTATGTACGTACATGCGTAGTAGTTGGAGGGAGGTTGTTGCCTTGTCCCTAGCTGGATTAGTGCAGATCACATGTACGGGCGACTAAGTCTGCCATCGGTTCATAGCTCTCCTATTGGATACTACCTCACGGCCTCTTTCGTCGCTGCCTTCTTGAAGCATACACTTCTTCGTAATTAATTTAAACTTCGCTTTCATTTTCTATAAGAATAGGCGGCCTGGTTGACGGCCTTAAGGTGTGTTTTTAGCTGGTCCTTTGAGCTGGTCCTTGTAGATATCTTTTTAGATATATGTAAAGACGGTAAAAAGGTATACTTTATATAAGCGAGTTTTCCATCAGGGATACTTTAACTTTATAATAGCACGACTGACGATTGATCGTGAACCCTATAAAGATGAAATTATATCTCTTTTCTAAACCGGTATATCATCGAATTCTATGTTCTTCAATTCAATGTACTTTGATTTTAGTATACTTCAATTTATATACAAAGCATACTCTTATAAAGTATGAAATAAATAGACCTCGAGAGTATATATACGGGAGGTAGGTTAATGCAATTAGAGAGGTAAAAAGAGCGTATACTATACTTTGAACATAGTACTTCTTAAGGTTGAAGGGATATACGTAAGTTATCGCCTGTAAATATTCACCAATGAGAGAGTTATGAACTGGTGGCATTCTTGCCTACATAGGTAGCTGCCCGTACACACATAATCCACTAGCCCACCTGTGGACCCGTACCCGTGGATGGGTCCACGGGTGGGCCTAATATCTAAAGTCTAAACAAGTATAGAGTCTAATGGGCAGACATCTCGACAATGTCACTCTATAACCCCCTCTTCCTCCCCTCCGATTGCACATAGGGTATGTGGTAATAAAGGATCAACCAAAATACAATACGACAAATATTACATGACAATTGTGGTAGATAAGAATTTGTCGAAAAGGTGTAGCTAACAATTCGCCGTAATCTAGCTGATCAGTTTGTCTGGGTCACGAGCAGTACGTGTCGAGTTGATGCCATTACGGCAAGTACTTGTTTTATTTTCTTTTCTTTCTTCCTGTCTGTCTCTTCTCCCTTTTCCACTGTTTTCTCTCTGCATTTCTCTTTATTCCAACAGTCGCACCATATCATCATATCTTTGTTTAACATAACGAATATCTTCATACCAATACTATCTCTTCGCTCAGGCAAAATGACGCGCCTGGCTTCAGCCAACCGCCATTTTCGCTCTGTCAGTTGCCCTTTGCTTGGCCGGGCAAGCCTTCATGAACCGCAAGTGGCCACAGATTATCCTGAGCCATCAACTGCACAGGGATCCAACGCTGTCCTAAGCGACCCTGAGCAGGCTGCAAATCAACCCGCGGATTGCTTGATTGTATCCCCCGATCTGAGTGAATCAGCTTCTAGCCAAAATGAGGTGACTTCAACCCGGAGTGTGATGGAGCCTGGTGCGAGTGATATGGACCCCGTTCTGAGTGAGATGAACCCTGGTCTGAGTGAGGTGGACCCTGATCTGCATGAGCCGAGCTCCGGCATCAACAACCAGACGTCTAATTTGAGTGAGTCAACAGCTGAGGTGAACAAGCCGACAGCCAATGAATCGCGCGCCGATTCGAGTGAGCTCGAAGAAGGCGAGATCCCGCCCACGCCCCCAGCAACCAATATTGCTCCCCGTCTGCCAAACCCCCGGCGGCCGAAGACCTCCAATCCACGTTTCAGGGCCTCAAATCCGTCACCTGAGCCCGGCCTGGGGCAGCCAGTGCCATCGGCCGACACATCCCGTCCGAAACATCGCAAAACGACTGCAAGCCACCAAGTCCCAGCCGAGGGCAATGATAAGCCCAGCCGCAAAAGAAAGCGCCCCTCATTTATCGACACACCGGACAATGAGTTCAGACCACCAAAAATCAGCAAAACTAGCAACACCAATAAAAAGCTCTGTACGGACCTCGGGCACGAGTTTGCTGGACTTGTCTCCGAAGCCACGGACAGTGTTGCTTTGAATTTTGCTAAGAACATTCTCCGACACCCTGTTCCAGACACGGTCTCGAAACGACTTGTGTACTTCAGTGATGCGTCTCAGCGTGCCATGTGTGGTGCCATTGGTATTGTCTGGCCAACAAGTCTGACCTCTTCCAATTGGGAGGGGAAAGGCGCCTATTATCCAATCAGCACCGACAATACCGCGATCCTCGAACTGTTTGGCATTTGCTGTGCCCTGGATCTAGCAATCCAGGACATCGATAAGGAGCGAGCGATTGTTCCATCAACGCTCTCACGCACTAGCTCCCAATCCCACACAATGACCAAGGAGGTGCTTGTTTTTTCTGATGATGCTGAGGCACTTAAGCGCATTCGGGGAGAGGGGCCCTACAACCCTGAAGACGAAGTGGGCAGTCAAATGGAGGCAATCAGTCGCCACTCCAAGACTCTGCACAGTATGGGCGTCCATATTGAGCTCCATTTGAGCCCGGGTCATTCTGGGGTGCCAGGCAATGTAGCAGCCGACGCAATGGCCAAGAGGAACATGTACGAGCTTTATGTGCAGACTAAAACCTCTTGGCCAACAGCTGAAGCTATCACGAGCCGGCCAATTTACCCTGCCCCTAAGCCAGGGTCTTGTCTGTCTCGCACAGCTCGTGGGTCGCGTGGTGGTCGACCTGCTTTCCCTCCCTCCCGTCCCATCATCCCTTAAATCATGCCCATGACATGACCTCACTGTGTGCGGGACCTGACTTCCAAGATTGTACATTCATTTGTAGATATCGTTGGTTAATTGTATGACTAATATGAACTTTCATTTAAAAGCAAGTAAACCATAATTCACTTACAGCACTGGTTTTTTTCTTCTAGGTCTTAGCTGGCTTTCACTTTTGAGCCAACCCTATTCACATTGAGTCCACCTTAATGAGCATAGTGAATTTGATGTCACTTGTAGTAGAAACATGTAACAAATATATGGTGACCAAGCCAGGTATTCTTTAAATTTAAGCAAATAGTAAGGCTGTCAACTGAAAGCCTCTTATAGTAGATTTCTCGAATGGGAACCGGAACGGAATGTACCGTACCGTAAGCATTTTACTCAGGCCTCGGGAGATGATGATTAGTACGACCCCACTAGTATCAAAGCTGCCTGAAGGGGATTCTGATATACACGTTTTCGGATTTGATTCTCACTTCGTACTCAATCTCCACACTGTCATGCTTCACTCTCTTTTTAATTTATATTGATTTTGCTAGAAAGATGTGAGGATCCAGGTTTGTATGCGTTATTCTTGCTAGGTCTGATCTAGTTCCTTCCTTTGCTTCGATTTGCATTTGCAATACAACATTGGAATCCATAATGCTCATTTACACTCTCGGTTGTAAATATAGACCTGCGCCGTTGTGTGATGGAGCAAGATAAAGGCGGTATGAAAGACGAAAGAAGAACAATAATACTGAGACTGGATGAAGGAGGCGTAGGATGCGTAGATCCCACTGTAGCAAGATTCTGTAGGTGAAAGGTGTGGGCGGTCAAACTGATACCTTCGCGACGTGTCGTTTATTTTCTTCTTTTTCTTATGCCTTCTCTCACACTCTACCATTCATCGCAATTCTTCCCTCTCCAACTTCTTCTCTTCACCCACTTCTTCTCTTCACCAACTTCCTCTCTTCACCCACTTCTTCTCTTCTCGCATTTCTTCTATCCTCGCATCTTTGAATTCATCCCCATCCACACCCCCGACTCCAAGAAAGCTCCACCAAGCACCGTGCAGCCCACCCAAATCGAGCTCGAAGATGGGCAAATTTATCTAGGCCCTGTGCAGCCTACACAAACCGACCTCGAAGATGGAGAAATTCCAACAGGACCCCCTACCACTCACTGTCCCTCCCGTCCACCAACACGCTCGTACCAGGTAGCCAGACACGATGGAATCGGGGTATCAGAGCCTCAAACCCATCTCCTGAGCCCGACAAAGAGGCTCGCACGTCAGTACTCAAGTACTCGAAGCGCAAATTGCCAACCATCAATCCAGTCCAACAAGACATCGTTCAGGGTGATGGCGACCAAAACCGCAAACGAAAGGTCCACCCACCTGCAGACCAAGCCGATAGTCCGTCTCCAGCAAATAAAAGAACGAAAAACAACCTTGAAGAGGAGAAATGTTTCTGCTGGCAGCTAGGGCACCAATTCCTCGGCTTCGCCTTCCATCTTAATGGTAGAAAGAAACAGAAGCTAGCTAGATATCCAGTGGAAGAATTACATATTGGTTATATGGAAATAACTATTGCCAAGTATAACTTAAAAGTAACACATTGTATGCATACGCCCCTATATCTCAGCGTTTTAATTCCATTTCAAATGGAATGAATTACTGTCCTTGTAGTCAGCCAGGTCGTGATAGGGAGGATCGTTGGGTTGCTGCAGTACCTTGCCTGGTCCGTCCATTTGATTTAACTGAAATATTGAATTTCATCCTGAAATGTCCTGATATTAGAGTACCGTATTGTTTGAGGAAGGGCCAGCAGCAGTGACTGATTAAGTCATGATGGGTAGATTACATGACAAATGGAATAACCTGCTGTTGATGTGGTTGACCGAGCCGTGATAGGTCGAATTGGGTCCTGTGGCTACTTGGTTCGACCCCAGGAGTGACAGAACCTAAAGGGAATTCCGTAATACACATATTTCTTTTTGCTCTTTGCACTTCATGTATTTTTAGCACTCCCTTACTTAATGTCTCCATTATTTTACATTTATGTCAGAGAGACGTGAGCATCCGGCTTTATGTGCGTAGATCAGCGAGGGGATGCCCGTGCAGAAAATAGAGAAAGTCATGTATTGCACAAACCTAGAAATAAGACAATATCGGGGAAAGGAAACAACTGGTAGACAACTCTTCTCCATAATCATGCCCTAGCATAGCATTTAAGCCAAAATTTTTACAATACCACCTGCTAGTTCTAATGCATCTGCAACAGCTCTAAGACTGGTAGCAAAACAAAATGAAGACACATGGGTAGAGGTTGACAGTGATGGATCTAACTAGAGACCCCAGGAGGGTTAGCATGGCTTCAAAGGCACCCAGAAGCTCATGGAGATCCTAGGCGAGGACGATGCCATAAACAAAGTAACAGGTAAAGTGAATTGCCTATAGGGCTATATATTTTTATATTGAGATACGAAGTAAGTCACATATGGATATGAATTAGACATGACGGGAATCAGATGTGAGTTGGGTTGAATGGTGAAGTGAATCAAATGTGAGGTCAAAGTGTGGTTTATATCTTAATTACACATGATATGTAAATGGCAACTCAGAGTTATCTGATCCGGAAGCAAAGCTGCATAATCCTAAATCTTTGCAACTTTATGGCTCTATCAGGGCCGAGCTCATAAAACTTCAGGCACACCAACCTCGCAGCAGCTCTCTCTGCCGAGAACCACTCAGGGCGCTACTGTGGCAAATTGTTTGAGATAGAGGGAGTAGAATTGACTGCTGGAACTGGGACGGGGGTAATTGGCACGGCAGAGGGGCCTTGTCGGGTGGGCAAGGACAGATGGTCGGGAAAGTTGAGGGGGGATGCAAAGAGACCCGTGACCTCGGATCCAGCAAATGAGAGAGTTGATCCGAGAACTGAGCATTCCTTTTGCTGCTCATCCTTTACCACCGTATGATTCCCAAGCTTGCTCTTGCTATCTTTTTTAGAGCTAGACGAAACAAGGTCTTCCTGTGCCTTTCTCGCCATGTCATGGGCGGCTTCATTTCCCGGGATTTTACTGTGCCCCGGACTCCAATGCAGCTCAAGGTGAATGTCCTGCATAGCCACAAGTTGTGACAGGTCGCAGATTGTGTTCACAAGGGATGCAAAAGCTCCCCCAACCTCGTACCGAGTTGTACCATTCAAGCGCTGTAGTGCGTAGACGTCGTCTGTGAATAATATCAGCTCCTTCTTTCTCTTATGCATGTCGGACCTCGTTCGCATAAAACCAGGGCGAAAGAAGCTTGTGTCAATCGGGCCTTCTCGGGAGACAGAAAAGGTTGGATTGTTAATAAAATTGAGGGCAAACTTCAGCCCGCAAGCAATAGCATAAAGCTCTACAACCCCTGGATCCACAGTTTCGAAAGGATAGCCGATTCCTAGCACATCCCATTCGGGTTAAGAGGTAGGTGCCTTCCATACGAGCCCCGCAGCGCCAGAAGAACCACGTACACATGCATCGCCATACAGAATTAGTCTGTGAGTGACGTGATGAGGCACAGGGAGTTCATGAATTTTTCGGGCGACTTTATCCGCATCGGTGCGGTTTGGAATTGAAATAAAACCAACAAAATTGTGCCCTTGTTCTCCGCAGACCATCCGAATTCGCTCGTGTCTTTGCCTTTTTGCAGGTGGACTTGGGTCTGGCAAGTTGAATCCAGATAGCTTGCGCTTCCGACCGGTGGTGGGTTGTAGGCTTTTTGACTGGTTGGGATTAGGAGCAGGAAGCGGGCTTGCTGGGCCGGTCGCGAATTGGTTTGTGACCTGCGTCGGGTGATGGGCGATAAGGGCATGTTAGCTCATACCCTGTGATGTGGGCAATTGAGGCTGTGTTGTTATTTGCTGGGGTAGGAGACCTCCACACCCAAGCTTAGGTGGGCAACTGGTAAAGCGAACATGCCTGTTGGCCGGCCGTAATAGTTGCATTGCGCCTAGGTCGCGACCTCGACTTGGTATGGTGGATCAGGTGTCGTGAGTAGCGAGCTTGAGATGTTAGACGTGGAATGGAATGGGACGGTTGGTTGAGGTAAAGAGAGATAAATAAAGAAATAGACGACTAGGAAGAAGATAAAGAGATGCTACATATCTAGATGCAAACTATTGAAAGCTGGAAGGTGCCATCCCTCTTAGTGTATTGGCCATTATATGCGCAAGGCCGGCCATCTTGATCCTACATTCTACCCTTGCTATATCTACTCTTGCTATCTCTATGGCTTTAGTGCCACACAGATAACATTTTATATTGACTTAATAAAACAGAAGAATTTATTGAAGCCCAAGACAGCTGTTGGAGATATGAAGACTGCCAGATTCCTAATAGGCTAGCAACTCAACGGTACCGGCAAGTTGGACGATGTGACTCTTGGTATCTTTCATAATCTCCCATGCAACTTCGATTGAGCCGACGGCAAAAGAAAGGGTTTCTTTGGCTGTGAGATTTGGAGAGACGACAATACTCACAGAGCCGACGTCCAGATGCGAAGGCTGTAGACACTTGTATAGAATGAAAGTATATCTTTTGATGGACGGGCGAACGTCCATGACAGATAGAATTGTCAAGTATTCTGTCTATCAGCTGAAGTTCTTTGATCACAGGAACCAAGAATGTGACAGTGGGAACAGAGCTGACACTTGCTTCAGGGTCTAAGAGGGATGAACCAATGTAGACGTTCGACAGGCCGCTCCCTTCATTATCCCATCCACACGGAGACCGAAAATCATGCAAACGTTCGGATGTATCAGGTAGGAATGTCGCAACAAGGTATGGTATTCAAGGGTTGTGGCTTGTGTAAACCCAAAGATTAGTATTAGGCTCAAGTCGGGGGTTGGTCATGCTTACCATGTGATCAAGGTCAGCGATGAGGCAGTTGATCTCAAGAGTAGGATTTTGTGAGTAGTCAGAGTGAAGTAGTGACGTAAATAGTCGCCATGGTTTCTCGCGTTGTTGCCTGGCGATAAAGAAAAGGTGTGGGGTGGTTGAAATAAAGAGAGCCTGATGACTGCGGGACCCCAATACCCCAATTTGATTTTGTAGAAGCGAGAACATGGAATCGAAGCTACCTAGTGTAGTGTAGAAACATTATTCACTAGCTTAGAGGTTTCAAATAGAAAGTGACGGATGGGGGAAGGAGCAATGAGCAGAACAAAATGTCGTACCGCAGAGATTATCCATGGACCTTGTGTCAAGTCTTTTTTCATGTTCTCCAAATACTCGGGAGGAGAAGGTATAGATAATTATTCTTAACTGAAAGTCGAATAGTTACAGCATTTGAATAAACACTAGGCGAAGGGTAAAAAAAAGAAACCCCCCTGGGTTTGCAAACTCAAGGGGTCGAACCAGGTAGCCTGCAAACCTAACTCCCTCCCTGTCACGAACTGGGAGCAATAGGTAGTATCCGGAAGCACCACCCCAAAATTCAGTTTCGAGCATCTTCCACTAGACTATAAGGGGGTTCTTGAAAATGTTGGTGTTTGCGTCAAACTTATGGGGCCCCGTGGCTACTAGATGACTCAGCACCTCCATTTCTTGCCTTATTGTAGCTTGTCATATTTAAAAGAATGTCAAACTTCAGTGAATCGTGGTATTCTCACACACCCTTTGTGCAATTGGGGGCGTGATGTTCGGAAGTGACATGGTCGAGATGTGGCTCTGATCGGTTTATCAGTCCAGTAAATCACATATTTTTGACTTCCCACCGTGAATCTACCCTGTTAAGGCTTCCATCACTCTTGGAACCAACGAAGCTGTCTTCCAAACGTCAAGGCTTTTGGATATGTCTCAAACATGCCAGAACTCAATATATATTTAGACTTTGGATATTGGGTCCACCTGTGGACGGGAGGTGGGTCGCAAGTCCCGTGATATCTACGCTAGCCCGGTAATGGACTAGTACCTAACTCTATTCTTACTCCTCCATGCCTAGGTGACACTTACAGCTCACTTTCCTTCTATTACTATCAAAGGGTACGTACAAAGGTACCATAGACAAAGTATAAGTTTTACAGCATTCACATACATCTGGAAAGACATCACATGGAAGAATAAGTGGCCGACTATTCTTAAAACCAATCATTTAACAATTCATGTTGATATTTCCCATGAGAGATAACTAATAGTTAGCGGCATTGGCAATGGCTTCGCCCAAGACTGCCTAACTAAATATCACATTGCTGGCAATGCAAGGCTTGATCGTATCGGCAGATAATATGGCTACCTTGGGGGTATACTCCTGCACTAGGATATTTGGTTGGAGGATTGGGTATGGGATTGTGTGATTCACAACCGACAGAAGAGGGCTTTAGGTAATTGCACTTAGAGATGAACTCCCCGAGACTCCATTGGACGGCATCGTTGGCCGGTAGAGAATAGCGTTTGCTATAACTGTGATTCTCGGTGAGGGTCGGGAGTTGGCAATGAAGTGGAAAATAGGGACGTACCCTAAGAGATTGCGTTGCTGCTTTAGTATCGACGTTTTGCGAGGGTGGTGCGGTAGATGCCGAGAAAGATCTGCACAAATTAGGGGTTCAAGCACACTCGATGAGACGTGGGAATCATAATGGCGAGAGATCCTCGCGTGAGGATAGATCGGAATCTCGATGGAGGTGTCCCTATATGCTGTTAGTAAACGTCAAAGCTTATAGTAAAGTCTGGAGTATCTTTTGGGCAACCATAAAAACTGTAGTGTAGGAATAAGGTCCCGAGATTATAGATAGTCGATTCAGGAAATGTTTAGCGGGTGAAGGCCAACATATAAAAGGGTCAGAGCTCAAAAGAGAAGCATACTGAGGGGTTACGTGAAGATGCAGGAAATAAACGACACAACGAAAGCATCCAGGGAGCACCGGGAGATAAAGAAGTCTAATCTAGGAGCTTTTTAAAAAACAAGGAGGAGGTCCTAAGAGAAAGAGAGAAAAACGAACCCCCTACGTTTCGTGCACTTCTGGGGTCGAACTAGTAGATCATTCACTAACCCAACCGACCTCCCTATCACGACCTGGCCAGTCACAACCCGTAGGTAGCTATACGAAGACTTATAGGACTCAGAGTTCAAAACTCCGTTTATAGGTGGGAATCGATACCTAAATGCCATATCTAGCACCGCCTTTTACACCGCTCTATACAGTGTATGGTAAATTTATTAACACTACAACTGTCAAAAATGAAGCCTTTGGCCCTATACAAATGAATATATCTTTATACAAGAATAGTCGGCCGCCTTTGCGGCCTTTTGATGTCTTTTCAGATGGTCTTTTCAGGTGGTCTTTTCAGGTGGTCTTTCTAGGATAATTGTTTAAGATTTAAAAAGCATCATTTTTGCAGTTTAACGCGACCACAATCAGTGTACTTTGATTATGAAGATATGGGTAATAGTAATTCAGGAATCTTATTTTTTCTGCCGTTCTTAAAGTCAGGCATTCAGGCACTAAACCACCTATAAAAGGGGGTTTACCCTGTAACCGGCCCCTGTAATTTTTTTTCAAAAAATACGGACCCTCGCAAGCGAGGGTCCGCCACCCATATGCAACATACCACCCATATGCAACATTTTTTGTATATTTTACCATTTTAATTCAACCACTGTCTATACCAACAACGATGCCTAAAACCAATAAAGATATAGAGGATCAGCTTCTTAAAGCCCTTGACTGTCTTCGTGAGCAATCTAAACCTAATATCGCGAAAACTGCGCGAGAATTCGCGGTTCCTGTATATCAACTGCGCCGGTGATAGAAAGGTGGAAAATCACTTTTTTAACGACTACCTAATGGTCGTAAGCTTAGCTCTGTATAAGAGAAGGCTCTTTGTAAATATATTGATTACTTTGACTCGGTCGGAGTAGACTTCCGCACGACCCAGTTTGGGTCGAAGGTCTCGACCCAGAACCCAACCCAGGCCCAACCTAGACCCAGTGACTAGGGCCCCAGAAAACCCAGTATAGCTGTTAGAAGGTCACGTGACCGCCACTGTTTGCTCCCAGTACTTTAGTCTTAGCATGTAGATAGTTTCTCTCTCTCTCCACACATTAAGAGATTTCCAGTTACATCTACATCTTCATCGTAGATCTCTAGTATCTCGTAGATCTCTAGTATCTCTAACAGGTTATAAGCCTCGTGTTTTCGAGTCCTCTGCATTACTGTATAGACTCGAAACCCTGGTTTTCCTCCTATTGGTGTACTACGTCGCACCACCCTACTGTAGAACCTCT